ATAAAATGGATATTTTTCAGCCATAAAAAAGAATGAAATCCTGCCACTTGCAACAACATGAATGGACTTTGAGGGCATTATGCTAAGTGAAATAAGTCACATAGAGAAGGACAAAAATCACATGATCTCATTTATATGTGGAATCTTAAAATAAAAATTAAAAAACCAAGCTCACAGATACAGAGAACAGATTGGTGGCTGCCAGAGGTGGAGGATGTGGGGGGGGGGTGGATGGGCAAAATGGGTGAAGGAGGTCAAAAGGTACAAACTCCCAGTTATACGATAAATAAGTCCTGGTGATGTAATGCACAGCATGGTGACTACAGTTAATAATACCGTATTGTACATTTGAAAGTTGCTAATTGAGGAAATCTGAAAAGTCTCATCACAAGAAAAAAAACTTGTAACTGTGTGATGATGCATGCTAACTAGACTTACTGTGATCATTTTGCTATATATACAAATATCCAATCATTGCACTGTACACCTGCAACTAACATGATGTTTTATGTGAGTTACATTTCAATAACAATAAAAATTAAATACTCACTGTTAAAAGAAAAGAAAAGGCAAGGCGTCGTTTCCTCATGTAGTGAATGCAGCCCGGAAGAATGGGGAAGGGCCTGAGCATCCTTGCCTAAGGTAGCCAGGGCCACAACAGCTTCCCCAGGCAGATGAACAGCTCAGGTCAAAGGCAGTGGAAGGAAAGCTACAGGCTGTGGTTAGGATGGTGACCTGCAGTCTGGCTTGCCCCATAGAGAATCCACTGCCACAACCTCTACCACCACCCTACTCCCCCCTGACACACACACACACACACACACACACACACAGTCACTTTACCACAAGTCACCATAACAAAGCGCAAGTTGGACTGGTTAAAATGAACGGTGGAATAACAGAATTTCATAACAATGTTCCTTTTTTCAAAGCAAGTAACTTCGGACAATCACAAACTTACTTCAGGTCAAACCAACAAATGTTTCTTAAGCATTTACTATATTCCTAGCTTTGTGCCAGATACACCACTTAAAACAAGCATAAGACTCAGCCCCTGCCCTGAAGAAGAAACCCACTATCTTGCTGATGAGTCAAGATTTAGATACATAAAGCAAGCAGGACAGCTACCATTTTTGATCACTTACTATATGCTAGACCCTTTACTAAGGGCTTTATATACACTACCTAATTTCACAATCACAAAACTATTTGATAGGCTTTATTACTGCCATTTTACCAATGAGGAAACCAATGCAGAGACAGGTAGAGACAGGTAGACTAGCACATCCACGGTTATACAGTAACTAGTGGAGCCTGCATCTGAACCTAAGTTCATTGACTCCAAGCTCTGGTAAGTTTATCTGCCCAGAGCCATAAACCAATGGGCTGAAGTTGTGTTGAGGTCCTGCAGGTAGCTGGATACTGTCGCAGGCCTGGAGGAATGGGATGAATTAGAGGAGAGCCAAGGGTGTTCTGGGTAGGTTTACGAGTGATGCACTGCAGCTGAGCTGACAGTGCCTAGTGTGAGGGACAAGAGAGGAGCAAGTCTAAGTAAAAGGGACAAGTTCATGTTTGGAAGAGGGTGAGATAGAGTAGAAAATGTAAGGAGGTATATATTATGGAAAGCCTCATATTTAATTACCATATACATCTGAAGTTCTCCTTGAACAAGGATAAAATATAATAAAAGACTGTCTGGGGTGGCAATGTTTTAGACTAAAAATCATTTTATAGCCTTTTTTAATTTTAACATTTTTTATTGAGTTATAATCATTTTACAATGTTGTGTCAAATTCCAGTGTAGAGCACAATTTTTCAGTTATACATGAACATATATATATTCACTGTCACATTTTTTTCTCTGTGAGCTACCATAAGATCTTGTACATATTTCCATGTGCTATACAGTATAATCTCATTTATCTATTCTACATTTTAAAATCCCAGTCTGTCCCTTCCCCCCTGCCCCCTTGGCAACCACAAGTTTGTATTCTATGTCTATGAGTCTGTTTCTGTTTTGTAGTTATGTTCTTTTTTTTTTTTTTAGATTCCACATATGAGTGATCTCATATGGTATTTTTCTTTCTCTTTCTGGTTTACTTCACTTAGAATGACATTCTCCAGGAGCATCCATGTTGCTGCAAATGGCATTATGTTGTCAGGTTTTATGGCTGAATAGTATTCCATTGTATAAATATACCACATCTTCTTTATCCACTCATCTGTTGATACACATTTAGGCTATTCTAAAGGCTATAAAAAAGCCTAACTAGCCATTTTATAGCCTTTAGAATGGCAAGAGTTAGAAACCTGGACAACATCAAAGGTTGGAGAGAACGTGGGGAAATAGGAACCCTATCTAATGTTTTGCTGATGGGAGAGTTAACTGTCATACTGGAAAGCAATGCAGTACTACTCAGCAAAACAGGGCATGTGTACTCCCTATGATTCAAGAATCTCACAGATGGGTAGATATCTCAGAGAAAATCTCATAGTAGCCAATAAATGGATATATATGAGAATGTGCAATGGTATTTTGGGGAAGTTGGCAGCAACCTAGATATCTATGTTGATGAAATGAATAAGAAAATATGGTTTATGCTGCAATGTTACCAAATTTATTGATGAGCTCTAATAGTTTTCTGGTAGCCTCTTTAGGATTTTCTATGTGTAGTATCATG